GTTTCTTGTTGAATCCGGTGTTGAACTCGTGGAGATTCTGGAAGCTGTCTCCCGTAAATGCGTAGCACAGAGAGCTAGATTACGATCGTCATTTTCAGGAACATAAATTGTATCCATTGTTGACGAAGTACAGCGTCCGTGGGAAGCTCGAACACAGAAGACCTGACAGCTGGATGAACAACTCACTCGACGAGCCGCAGAAATATGGTCATGCCCTTTCCTGCATATTCCGGAGGGAGGGGTTGATGCAAATGTGTGGGTTAGTGACGTCTAAAACCAGCTGTAGTCCCAATCCAGTCGTTTTTGTAGGCAATTATACTTCCTGGTTTTTAAAAGACGATATCTCTGCTTACACTGAACTTTCACTGCTGCAACTTTGCAGATACTGTTCATGCACCAACAGCAACATTACACACTATTAAAAATCAAAAAGTGAAATTGCAATCAACCATTAACTGATGTTGGACTTGCATACAAAGGAATGTGCAAGCAAAGCATTTACTCTAGACAGTGCTTTTACACTCTCTGGACAAAAGCTGAGAAAGAAATACATTTCTGACAGATGTGTATGACGTCATTGACATTTTAAAACAGTTTTTAAAGTAATGAAGTGACACTAAAAAAAATAGCACTCTGTAATGTGTAATTTCTTTGCATCTCCTTTCAAAAACTACATTCAAAAATACAAGAAATATCCTGAGAAAAGTGGGTTTTGAGGGGTGCATGTCCATTGACCTCCATTGATTCTGCACTCGTCCTGTGAGCGCCCTCATGTGGACCCAGAGTGGAACTGCAACCGTTCAGAAACCGGAAGTTCACAGAGAGTGAGAGTTCTCCCCATATTAGACTTTCTCTGGGTCGAGTTAGTTGCTGGTGGCGCTGTTGCATGAGATCCTACATGGTTAAGTGTATTCAAATAAATCGGATTTATTTGCAGTGGTTTCTCACACTGAAATGTTATTTGTGTATGTTCTTCTGGCATATTCAGAAAAAACAAGGGCCCTGGATGAGTTTCATATTGTTTATTACCCAGAAAACTAACATGCCAATGATGAAGCATGTGTGCAGTTTAAACCCCACACCTGATCTCATTTAATGCCTTTCTAATAACCAGATTCTCAAACCCATTTTCACATACAGAAACTTGAATGATAACACAACTTGGTTTTCAATGCTTTTATTAATTTGAGGAGCATTTCAGAGAAGATATTGACGAGAGATTAAAGGTTAGAGATTTGGTTTAAGAACACGAGTATAAATGTGGTTAAACACGGCTCGCTGCTCGTGGACCCACACAGTCACACATGTCTTCAACACAAATATAGGATAATGAGGTTAAACAGGACTCGTCGTTCCAGCAACGGTCAGCTGTAAGGGGGAATAATAAAATCAGTTATTCTGATCATTAGTGTTATTACAATCAAAATGAAAGACTGTTCAACTAAAGGCACTTTGCTATAATTCAATAAAATGAATCATTGGGATTTCACAAAGTATTGAAAAAGTCTGTATTCTTACCGCTAAAGCTGATATCCAAACAGTTCTCGGGACGCTGCTGGTAATTGTTGGGTTCTCCAGAGCACCAGTTGGTGTACGAAAACACAGATCCATCACTCCACAACCACCGTCCATCCTGAAGAGAGAAGAGAGGGAATAAAAGAGTGCACTACTGTTGGTGGACTTCAGGAAGAAGCTTTAGTTCAGATTTGAAGTCAAAACAGCTTCATTAGAAACTTTGCCTTTACGGTTTAAAGCAACAATTGTAGTTTAGACAAACAAACTGGTCTCTTTAGGACACACAATTGAACTTACTTGAACAGCATCATGAGCACCAATCCAAGTCCGTGTGGAAGGAGAAGGCAACAGACTCAGCAGGAAATCATTTTCCGCTTTATTACGCACAGATGCGAGATTCGCACCATGACTTTGACAGTTTCTCTAAAGAGACAGATTGTCAAAAGTAAATCAATTTTAGCAAAACACAAGTGACAACATTTTAGACATTTGCAAACAAAGTTTGCTCTATTTGCTCAGTACCAGTTTTCTGGATCAGTTATTTGCAGAAAAGAAAGTTCACTTTACAAAACATATAGTAGGGCTGGGCGATATGTCGCACGATATTGTTATGCGCATCTCGTCAGTAAAGTCGGTTCCTTGATAAGTAGTAAATAACCTTCACCTGCTTTCAGATGGACGATATGAGTGCTCAATTAAAATTCAAGAGTGTTAAAGTCAATGAGATAATTAAATGATTAATTTAGTGATGATTTAGCATTATTGAAGACTAAGAGAGAAAATTTCTTTGCATCTTAACTTCTTGCCTGAATTAACTCTTCCTTTTAGAGATTTTTTTCGCCACAGAATCATTTTTATCAGTTTAAATTAATCTGAAATGCACTTGTACATGTCTATATACATCTGTTTTAGATGTGGTTAAAGACACCTAATATAAAGCGTGTCAATCCTCTTGTTGGAACACATTACCTCTGCTGTGATCCAGTTACTCGCATCAGAAAAGTACTTGTAGCATCCGAGTCCAAAACTCCTCCAACCAGCAAGGCATGATTTGCCATTTATGAGTCCACGATCATGTTCTGAAAACATGGTAAACCCCTTATTAATCATGCAAATATTAATCAATGGAATATTGTACAGTTCCAAGATGTTTCTAAATAGCAAGAGTTTTTACAAATAAATGTGTTGGTTACCGTCTGTACTATTCCCCATGGAGAAGATGATGAAAAGAAGCAGACAGCTTTTCAGCATAGCCATCGTGAACCTGAAATTAATAAGCAGGAAAAGTTAAATGTCTGTCTGCACTCATATATGCTGCACACTGAGATCCTCAATGCATTTTAAAACAATTCAGGGAGAACATTATACAGAACTCACTTTGGTTTTTAAATTGTTTCCTTCAGAGTCTCAGAGAAAGATTTTGTGACAAAGTCAGACCGTGTGAACCACCACAACATCACCATAATGAAGATGGGTGATATTTATACACATAATATCAGGCAATAACTGTCCCAGAGTCATCAGTAACACCTGCCGCACCATCAGCGCCCGATCACCCGACTCCGCCCATCCACTCGTCATCACCAGAGTAGCGGTTTTAGGCACGGGCGAACCGGGGTAATCAGTCCTTCACAGACACATCAGATTGTTAACGTGTAATGGGCAACAACAAAGGACATAAGTAGCCTACTTTATTCACCTTTCGACATATAACCCATGCTTAACTTGCTAAACCTAAAATCAAATCTGAGATTTCTCAACGGCAATCGGGTGAAAGAGACAAATTTAGCCTCTAGCTATAGACGCCCATTCATTTTGCACTCTGGCGAACGCCCCCAGTCAGTAGCACCTCAATGCAGTACATGAGATCCACGGGGAGGAGTCGGATCACGATCCAAGGGGTGGAGATGGGTAGGATTAGGGGGCAGAGCTGGTTAGGTTTAGGTGTATGTAAGGTGGGAGGAGTTGGATCGGGATCCGACTCCTCCCCGTGGATTTCATGTACCGCAGTGAGCACCATCTCCCCCCAGTGGAAATCTGGTGGAACTACAAGCAAAATTCGGTCCAAAAGGAGGCTTTCCGTAGACGGGCTTTGGGTACCATCAGAGAAGAGAATTGGCACTGGCTGGTTCCCAGACAGCAAACTGACATTGAATCAACGTGGAAACGACGTCTCTCATGACATTGAAACAACGTTGATTTTGCTCATCGAATTAACGTTGAACCAACGTCAGACGCGGCACTCTTCAAAGCTAAATGAAAATCGAAAATTGGTTTGCTTTCATAACGTTGAAACAACGCGTTGATTTCAAGTTGATTTTCCGTTAGTTTTGAAAGAATGACGCGTCTGACGTTGGTTCAACGTTAATTCGATGAGCAAGACAATGTCAGATCAACGTTGTTTCAATGTCAGTTTGCTATCTGGGTTACTTCCGGGTTTTGGACTGGCTGCAGTAACACGTCTGTGTCCACGCGAGGGCGCTCGCCGTCGAGTGCAGAATGAATGAGTCAATGGGGTTTCATCCCCAGAAATCCACTTTTCTCAGGATGTATTTTTTTGTCAAGTAATTTGAAAGTTGCATTCAAAAGGGAGGGCTAAGATAATACACTCAGCTGAAAATTGCATTTTTAAGTTCACTTATCTGTTCTAAAAATCCGTTCAAAACTGTGATGACGTCACACAATAGCAGAATGCTAGCGTGTTCTGGCCAACAAAGAAATCAAAAGGACATAAGTACTTGTTCATTCGACTTTTGGCCTATAATCTATATTGAACTTGCGGAATAAACAATAAAATCTTTGTTAATTTAACGACAAGCAGGTGAAAGAGACACTTTTAGCCGTTTAGCCCCATAGACTCCCATTCATTCTGCACTCGCCCGCGATCACCTCCAGTGGAATTCTAATGGAACTGCAACCAAGATGATACACAACGGGGCTAATAGGAAGTGCCAAGGCTCTCCGAAGACGGGAAGCTGGTGCTGATGAGCGGGTGCAGGTTTTTTTTTATTTTTTTTATTTATTTATTTTTTTTTATTTCAAGAATTACAATTACAGTCAGGGGTACATTGAATAAACTAAATAAAAAAACAAGAAAAGACAAACAAAGCAGTGACAAACTTAAGTTAAACAAAAATGTGAAATGGTGCAGGTGTGGTGAGTCAGTCCTCAGGTGATGACGAGTGGATGGGCGGAGTCGGGTGATCGGGCGCTGATGGTGCGGCAGGTGTTACTGATGACTCTGGGACAGTTATTGCCTGATATTATGTGTATAAATATCACCCATCTTCATTAGATAGGTATGGTAATGTTGTGGTGGTTCACACGGTCTGGCTTTGTCACAAAATCTTTCTCTGAGACTCTGAAGGGAACAATTTAAAAACCAAAGTGAGTTCTGCATAGATGTTCTCCCTGAGTTGTTTTTGTGTTTAAATGCATTGAGGATCTCAGTGTGCAGCATATATGAGTGCAGACAGACATTTAACTTTTCCTGCTTATTAATTTCAGGTTTATGATGGCTATGCTGAAAACCTGTCTGCTTCTTTTCATCGTCTTCTCCATGGGGAATAGTGCAGACGGTAACCAACACATTTATTTGTAAAAACCCTTGCTATTTAGAAACATCTTGGAACTGTACAATATTCCATTGATTATTATTTTCATGATTAATAAGGGGTTTACCATGTTTTCAGAACATGATCATGGAATCATAAATGGCAAATCATGCCTTGCTGGTTGGAGGAGTTTTGGACTCGGATGCTACAAGTACTTTTCTGATGCGAGTAACTGGATCACAGCAGAGGTAATGTGTTCCAACAAGAGGATTGACACGCTTTATATTAGGTGTCTTTAACCACATCTAAAACACAGATGTATATAGACATGTACAAGTGCATTTGTCGGATTAATTTATAAAAATGATTCTGTGGCGAAATAAATGCTACAGGAAAAAAAAAACTAATCTCTAAAAGGAAGAATTAATTCATGCAAGAAGTTGAGATGCAAAGAAATTTTATCTAGAGCTCAATTTAGATGTGTAGGAAACTTAAGATAAAACTACAAGGAACTCGCTTTCAAGGAACCGGCTTTACTGATTAGATGCGCATTACAATATCGCCCTACTATAAAGTGGGAATGTTATTTGGGAAAGTGAACTTTCTTTTCTGCAAATAACTGATCCAGAAAACTGGTACTGAGCAAATAGAGCAAACTTTGTTTGCAAATGTCTAAAATGTTGTCACTTGTGTTTTGCTAAAATTGATTTACTTTTGACAATCTGTCTCTTTAGAGAAACTGTCAAAGTCATGGTGCGAATCTCGCATCTGTGCGTAATAAAGCGGAAAATGATTTCCTGCTGAGTCTGTTGCCTTCTCCTTCCACACGGACTTGGATTGGTGCTCATGATGCTGTTCAAGTAAGTTCAATTGTGTGTCCTAAAGAGACCAGTTTGTTTGTCTAAACTACAATTGTTGCTTTAAACCGTAAAGGCAAAGTTTCTAATGAAGCTGTTTTGACTTCAAATCTGAACTAAAGCTTCTTCCTGAAGTCCACCAACAGTAGTGCAGTCTTTTATTCCCTCTCTTCTCTCTTCAGGATGGACAGTGGTTGTGGAGTGATGGATCTGTGTTTTCGTACACCAACTGGTGCTCTGGAGAACCCAACAATTACCAGCAGCGTCCCGAGAACTGTTTGGATATCAGCTTTAGCGGTAAGAATACAGACTTTTTCAATACTTTGTGAAATCCCAATGATGCATTTCATTTTATTGAATTATAGCAAAGTGCCTTAAATTGAAAGTCTTTCATTTTGATTGCAATAACACTAATGAGCAGAATAACTGATTTCATTATTCCCCCTTACAGCTGACCGTTGCTGGAACGACGAGTCCTGTTTAACCTCATTATCCTATATTTGTGTTGAAGACATGTGTGACTGTGTGGGTCCACGGGCAGCGCGCCGTGTTTAACCACATTTATACCAATGATATTCTTAAGCCAAATCTGTAACCTTTAATCTCTCTTCAATATCTTCTCTGAAATGCTCCTCAAATTAATAAAAGCATTGGAAACCAAGGCTTGTATTGTTAAATTTCTGTGAAAGTGGGTTTGAGACTCTGGTTATTAGAAAGGCATGAAATGAGATCATCAGGTGTGGGGTTTAAACTGCACACATGCTTCATCATTGGCATGTTGGTATTCTGGATTATAAGCAAATCTTGAACTCATTCAGGGCCCTTGTTTTCTGAATATTCCCACCACATACAATATCCCAACCTTTCAGTGTCAGAAACCTCTGCAATATCATGTTACAACAGTCACAAATGTATATAGTTATTATGTTTAGTTGTAAAATGTCGGTTGTAAATGTAGTTTCCAAAAATTCTCTGTTTGTATTGTCTTCATACTTTGTGAATTAAATCACTTGATCATCACAAATTTTAACGGCCAAAGAATCATCCAGTTAGTCTGTTATTACTTGAAGAGACTGAACAACTGGCTATATCTGTATGTTTATTATTCCAGTGACTGAATAAAATGTATAGCAAACGCATCTAACTGGGTTATATTATCTTACCTTACTGGTGACCGGTGTGTTTCACCGCTCGTCTCTCTCTCTCTTAATCCTGTGATCCATTATTTTCTTTAGAGAAAGATGTCATAGTTAGAAAGGAGGGGTTGCAATGTGAACATAATGTGAGTGGACCTCCCATTATACGATTCTTGCACCCCTCCTGTTTAACCTGTATGCTCCCACTGACCAAACAATGAGAAGGAACCAAATTGCTCTAAAAACTCTAAAAATGTAGTTGTTTCAACACTTTTGACTCAAATCAGGACAAACCCAACCATTGGTTTAAAATATTAATGAAATAATGTTTATTATATAGGACTCAAAGCATGTTACAATGAATAAACAAACACATCAAAACAGGACAGATGTAAGAAACAATACAGTATACATATCAAACACCACATATGGTCATCATGGAATCTGAGTGAAGTGCATATTCTGGAGTGAAAAATCGACAAATATCAACAGACTGAACACAGTCGTCATAGTAAAAATGAAATAACCTGGGGTGCGTTTCCCGTAAACGACGTGGTTCGCTGTTTCACTTCCATAGTACGATGCATCGAACGTTGGAGACATCAACTAGTCACGAACCCACTGTCGCAAAGTATCGTTCAATCACGTTGGTTTCGCACGTGGTGGAGTAATAACTTTATTTTGCTCAAGATAAGGATTTATTAATAACAACCCAGACAGCAAACTGACATTGAATCAACGTGGAAACGACGTCTCTCATGACATTGAAACAACGTTGATTTGCTCATCGAATTAACGTTGAACCAACGTCAGACGCGGCATTCTTCAAAGCTAAATGAAATCGAAAATTGGTTTGCTTTCATAACGTTGAAACAACGCGTTGATTTCAAGTTGATTTTCCGTTAGTTTTGAAAGAATGACGCATCTGACGTTGGTTCAACGTTAATTCGATGAGCAAAACAATGTCAGATCAACGTTGTTTCGATGTCATATTTCCACGTTGATTCAATGTCAGTTTGCTATCTGGGAAGTCATGAAATATAGAAACGATATCCTCTAACCACAGGTCGAGAGCTGTTGTTCAAACCACCCAACTTTGCGATGCTGTTTGCTAATGTTCGTTGGAACGATGGTTTCGGGAAACACCGACTCGTTAAACTATGCAGATAACGGAACTTGCGACCATAACTTTGGCTATAACGAATCGTTAGTAACGATGCTTTCGGGAAACGCACCCAGACACGCGGGAACCACAAACATGTAACCTCAATTGACTTTTATGGTTGTGAGAAACATTTTAAAGGGGAATTTGTTAACTTTAGCCATGAGTGTTTATGTCCAACGCATTCTAGGGCGTCATATAGGTGACGCTTGAAATTGCGTCTAAATCGGACGCGCATCATTCCTTTTAGGAGAACATTCTGGGAACCAAAATTAAACTACCCGCTGAAAACATTATTAGAACTTTGTGGTGTGTTCCCCCGAACGTTTTTAGAACAAAATATTTCTAGCTTTGTGGTCACACAGAGTCAGCTGACCACAATCTGACACATGTGGAGTTCAAGCATGGGTTCATCTTTTCACCGTATAAAATCAAACACACAACGCTCACCCTGCGGCTCCACCAGTTAAACACTGCCCAGATAGCAAACTGACATTGAATCAACGTGGAAATGACGTCTCTCATGACATTGAAACAACGTTGATTTGCTCATCGAATTAACGTTGAACCAACGTCAGACGCGGCATTCTTCAAAGCTAAATGAAATCGAAAATTGGTTTGCTTTCATAACGTTGAAACAACGCGTTGATTTCAAGTTGATTTTCCGTTAGTTTTGAAAGAATGACGCGTCTGACGTTGGTTCAACGTTAATTCGATGAGCAAAACAATGTCAGATCAACGTTGTTTCGATGTCATATTTCCACGTTGATTCAATGTCAGTCTGCTATCTGGGTGTTAACCACCAGATGCTCCTGTCAAACCTCAAGATGAAAGATATCTCAGGAACAAGTCCTACCTCTCAGTTGGTGTCTTGGAGGGGTAAGATATCTATGTTGCAACATCTCAGTCATTACCGGAGTGCCTCAGGGCTCAGTGCTGGGACCGTTTCTCTTCTCAATCTCTGTCTGTGATTCAGAAACATGGTCTTTCATATCACTGCTATGCTGAAGATTCACAACTCTACCTCTTATTCCAGCCAGATGATCCGACGGGAGCTGCTCGCATCTCAGCCTGCCTGACAGACACTTCTTGCTGGATGAAGGACCACCACCTTCAACTGAACCTTGTAAAGACAGAACTGCCTGTGTTCTCCATAGAGGTGTGTACCAGGTTCAGAAAGTAAAAGTCCTCCTGTTCCAATCACCTGGATTTGATATATTGTATGGTGGAAGGTGAACCCAGGTGCTGACATTAAGTGACACAAAGTTTATTATCAACAGAAAACAGTGAAAACAAAACCCACGAGGGGGCAAAACTTGAACAGCAAAAGAAATGACAAGCCTAGACTAGGACTGATGAATAACTAGACTAGAACAAACTGTAATAATAGGACTATCTCTCAGGACAAAACATAGACTACTCATTTTACTCACAGTGTATAAAAATGCTCGACAGAGATTCTCACTATCACAGATACAACGAGATACGACACACAATGATCCGACATGGGACAGCAAACACAGGGGATTAAGAAGAAAGTAATGAGGGGAATAGGTGACACAGACTAGATATTGACAAGGGGGCGGCCCAAACAACAGGCCATGCGCTTGTGCACAAAACATGGGTCTGCCATGATCCTGCCACAAGATCAGGAAAAATCAAGGACATGATGGCAGAATCATGACATGATTAGTCGAATAAACTTAATGCAGGACTTTTACTTTCTGAGCCATGGACTTTACATTTATGGGACCCAGCCAATTTAACACTTCATCACAACTTCTCCATTCAGCTGGGTTCACATACCATAACTCCATCCAGGACCGACAGGAATCACAGGTTAAACTTCACAGACAGGTTAAAGGGTAACTAAACCCCTGGGCAGAGCCTGACTCCACCCACTTGGGTTGTTTTATGGACATACGTATATACACTCTAAAAAATGCTGGGTTGTTTTAACCCAACTTTGGGTCAAATATGGACTAAGCCAGCCGTTGGGTTAAATTTTTACATTACATTTTTAACCCAACATTTCGGGTTTGTCCATATTTGACCCAAAATTGGGTTAAAACAACCCAGCATTTTTTAGTGTGTATATATATATATATATATATTGGTTGGTAGAAAGGTTGTTTTAACCCACAATTGGGTAAAATATGGACAAACCCAAATATTGGGTCAAAAGTGTAATTAAAAATGTTTAGCCCAACTTCAACTTTCACGTTTAACTGTACATTTTCTAATGACATTTTTAACCCAACATTTGGGTTTGTCCATATTTGACCCAAATTTGTTTTGCAAATAACCCAGCATTTTTTTAGAGTGTATGGGCCTATATGATTTAATTAATGCGTTTTTTATTTTAAAGCAATTAAAACACAACAACTTTGGTTTAGCATCTCAAACGAGGGGGACTAACATTATTTAAAAAAAAATGTAATCTTTGTGTTTGGTGATAGACGCTTTAAGAAATTAATATTCATGAGCCAAGCCAAGCCCCGCCTCTCAGAACGCGCCAATGGGCGCAGAGGTTTGATGTCATCTCGAGGAAGTGTTCGCCCGTGTATATATCATGACAGCTGAAGAGAGACTGTAGAAACCTGTTAGCCTTTTATCCGTCCAGAAACATATAGCGATGGAAGTATTATTGTTCTACATCCAGAGTCACAGGGGACAACGCCTGCTTTATTGCTAGCCTTATAGTGGGCTAAACATCAGCTGGTTTTTGAAAGGATCGGGATCGAATCTGTGTTAGGTACAGTACTGTTACTCTTATTAGCGGCTAACTCATTAAACGTGTGCTCAAATGCTTTTATGTCACAACTCTTCTGCCAAACTGGACCTTAAATAGCAATAGCGTATTGTGGCTCGTGTGATCGTGGCTATCGCAGGTGTATGTCTTGTTTTTAAATCCGATCACGACAAAAAAGCTGTCTAGACAAGCTTATAAACAAGATATACAAGTTTTAAACAAGATATTTCCACTAAAGAACTAACGTTAGCTATCACTTTGTAAACTGTCAGGCTTTGAGCAATAGTATAATGAAGGCTCAGTCTATGGGGTCAATCCATGTCAACTCAACCAGAGCCAGAGTTCTCCAGCTTAAATCTTGGATTTTGATAATTATTTTGGTAAAAAAATAAAAAATAAATGTCATGGATGTATGTTTTTACTGAGGAGTTTTGTAGAGGGGTCAACGTGACATTTTTCTCCTGAGATTTTGAGGGGTTTTACCCCTAAATTACAGGGGGTAAAAATTACTTAAAGAGACAGTTCACCCAAAAATAAAAATTCTGTCATAAATAACAGTATTTTTTCCTACTATTGAAGTCAATGGGTGTCCTAAACTGGTTACCAGTATTCTTCACTCCATGCTCATTTGTGTTCACCAGAAGAAAGAAATTCATACAGGTTTGGAAAACCATGAGGGTGAGTGAGTAGATAATGACAGAATATTCTTTTTTGGCTGGACTATCCCTTTAAGAAAGATGACATCAGCTTTACTTTATGTGATGTTGGTAGGTTTATTAGTGAAATAAAATCTGCTGACTGAAGCAATCTCTGTTGCATAACAGTGACTGTTGAAAAATGAGGAAAAGGCACTTCTTGTGTTTTTTTTACCCCGAAGTTTGCATGCGTGTAACTTTATTTAAGATCTTATTAAATCTTATTGAATTATTTAAGATCTCTTAATATACTTTTATATTGTAACTCTTTTACACACTTTTCGTTTGGTATCTTATGTTTGTGATATCGGGATCTCGATGTTTCATTTTTAGTGCTCAAAAACCACATGTGGGTCACTTTACATAGAGCTGATGCTTTTTTCTTTTAAAGAGGAATATAATAATGTTGAAGATAGAAATGGCCTATTTTTAACTACAGTATCAACATAATTGCACGGAAATAGCCTAAGTATTATTGTTTTTTCCAAAGTTTGTGTGCCTTAAAAAAATTCAAGGATATCGCATTCTTAATCAACTTTTCTTTTTTAATTCTCATTTAAAAGGCCCTATACGGTTCAGTCTTATAGATCCATGTTCAAATTGTACAATTTTACCCATTTTCAATGTTCGAAAACCAAATGTGGGTAACTTTTCAAACAGCTGATACTTATTGTGTTTAAAGAGGAATGTCTTAAGAACAAATAAGTAAATTGGTAATGTGAATTTTGAAGTAATGTGAATCTAAGTTTGAAACCGTGTTGTGATTTGCATGAATGTTGGTGTGTTCAAGTCTCAGGATTTTCTCTTTAGGAGTTTAGGGACGTGTCCGTGAGGAAACGTGGTGGAATATCAAAATACTTAGAGATATTTAGCAGTGACATTGCCAGGCTTGTTTATTTACAACAAAATCAGCTAATTCCCTTTAATAAAATATAATTGCATTGTAATATAACAATATAATATGTAACGATAATAAACTTTAAAGTGGCTTAGTAAACTAATTAAAAACATAAAAAAAGAAACCTGATGCTCATTCTTTGTATGTTTTTAGAAATTATACATATAAAAATATATGTATTTGTGTGTAGAAGGTACACCACCAACTTGCTTCGATGAAAGTGACTTGACCTGATGGTCCCTGGAAATTATTGTTGGGGGTTAACTTTAAAAAAGTAAGTTATCTGGTTGACTCAGATTTTGAGTTTATCTAAATTAAAAAAAATGTGTTCAATCAACAGAAACTCAAAATACTCTGTTATCTTAACCACATCAATTATATAAGCTAATTGACTAAATGAAAAAAGTTGTTTTCTATCATGTGCCGTGCACGTTTGCGATGACGTAAGATGAAATGCACTGGGGTTCGATAGTATCAAGGTTTAATCGGGAACCATTGTGCTCGGACTCTGACCACAGCAAACATGGCCAGTGTTTCCGGGTAAAAAAAACAAAAAAACTTAAAATAACACAGAGAGAGCAACTATTTGACTTTTTGACCTTACGAACTATCAGCAGGTATGCAGAACATAGACCATTTCAAGATGAGGAACATCGTTGCTCTCTGTTAATTGTTGTTTTGGGTTTTTTCCTGAATGTTAGTGTGTGTAACTGTGTCTTTCTGTGTGTATTATGCTGTGTTTGTGAACTGACACTCATATCTGGTCTTTTTGTTCCAACTTTGCCATCCAGATGGAGAATTCAGGCGGGTCTAAATGGACGCTGAAGTCAGATTCGAGCTCAGAGCCTTTTCCCAAGTGTTGCTCCGCCTGTGAGGGCAGTGAGGAGTCTTTCCGTGGGAAAGTGTTCAGGAACAGGACTAAAACCAGGAGTGTGTCTATGCCACCAGCACATTGCTCTGCTAAATTTAGGTAAAGCAAGACTGTCTGTCAGCAATTTCAAGCCCAAACTAAAATCATCAATCATGTATTAGGTCAGTGTCAATAGACTGAACTCACCATTTTTGTAATATATATATAGTTTCATCCAACACACGAATGCCTTATCTTACCACATAGTTTACACAACTACACCAGTCTTTCCACACTTGCAACACTTCTGCTTTACCAAATGTTGGACTAGTTTTGTGCTGTGATATTGAATGTCATGTGGGTAAAGGGGAAGATTGCTTTTTTTTACTTTCCCACACTATATACCACTGCAGTCCTTTAAAAGTCGAATGTTCATAACTAGTATATACTGGCTGGGGGATTAAAGGAGTAGTTCACTTTAAAAAAAAAAACTTTTGCTGATAATTTACTCACCCCCATGTCATCCAAGATGTCCATGTCTTTCTTTCTTCAGTTGAAGAGAAATGGTTTTTGATGAAAACATTCCAGGATTTTTCTCCATATAATGGACTTCAATGGGGTCCAAACGGTTCAAGGTCCAAAAGAAAGTTTCAGTACGAACTGCAAACTGTTCAAAGGGCTTTAAAGGATTCCAGACGATGAATAAGGGTCTTATCAAGTGAAACGATCGCTCATTTAATAAATAAATAACAAAGTTTAAGTTTTATAAGCTCAAATGCTCGCCTTGCTCTGTTCTGTGATGCGCGTTCGTGACTCTCCTGTTCGAACTCGTTCATCAAAATGAACAAATCTTTTTTTGTGTCATTTGGTTCATTCAATGAACGAAATGATTGAGTTGACTCAGGAAAAGATTCGTTCATTTTGATGAACGAGTTTGAACTGGAGAGTCACAAGGCGAGCATTTGAGCTTATAAAACTTAAACTTTGTTATTTATTTATTAAATTAGTGATCGTTTCGCTTGATAAGACCCTTATTCATCGTCTGGAATCGTTTAAAGCTCTTTGAAGCTGCACTGAAACTCTCATTTGGACCTTGAACCGTTTGGACCCCATTGAAGTCCATTATATGGAGAAAATCCTGGAATGTTTTCATCAAAAACCTTCATTTCTTTTCGACTGAAGAAAGAAAGACATGGACATCTCGGATGACATGGGGGTGAGTAAATTATCAGCAAAAATATTTTTTTAAAGTGAACTACTCCTTTAATACTGTATATATTATTATTATTATTTTATTTTCAGAACAACAGATATAGACATAGTCCTCTTCCATTTAAATGCATGTTTTCACTGTGCGTTGTTTTCATTTTCGATGTGTCAGGGCCAATTATCGCTATATTATATACTTAAAAATAGAGGTCCATGTTTGTCATCTTTCTGTTCTTTTAAAGGAGGACACAGTCACTTCATGGACCAAGCCCTGTCACCACATTTGGGCCCAAAGCCTGTATGCTGAAGAACCCTAAAGCTGTCATGTGAGTCATTTTACTACGCTTGCCTTTTCCAGCAGATGCCAAGGTTAAATAACTGTGAGTGTTGACTAGTAAGCATAGAAGGTGTAGCCCAGCACCGTCATCTCTGTTATGACCACGAATACAATGATCTCACTAATGCTTTCATCATAACAAACACAATGTACATGGGAGTTTCATTGTGAAATGTAAACCGCCTAATTGATTACAATGGGACTGTATAACGGTAGTGCTTTTCATGACAGATGATTTCTCGTAAGAGGAACAGTTTTGATGATCACAGGCCGCTTTTAAGTAAGCATTAACGTCACTTTCCCACCAGCCGGACTGAGTGGCAGAAGAGCTGCTGTGTGACTGGATTTAATAGACGAAACTGTGAAAACGCGAGTAAAACAAACAATTATCAGTTTAACCCTTGTGCATCAATTTAAAAAAGTTACACATAGGTAAAAAGAGGACAAAAATGTCCATGTCAAAAAACTGTCATAAAAACGTGACGCTTTGGAGCACAGACTTAAGTTTGGTATCATTTTAAAGAAGACCCTTTGCAGATTATTGCTGAAGTAAAAAAATAATAATAGGTAAATCCAAAAAAAAGTTATATAGGTATAAGTTTATGAAAATTATTTATAAAAAATATTTTATATAAAATATATATATTTTTAAATCAGGTTGAACTCAAAACTGCAATAAAATCAAAGCCATAAATCTAAATAGGTTGTGTTCCAAATTTGAGGATGATATCTCAAAAAATGAGCTTTGGGTAACAGTTTGTTTGGGCGTAGTAACATATTTCCCCCATTGGGTGGCAGCAAAACCCCACTGGAGCTCACAGTGATTGGATTTGAATTTGCAGTTTTTCTCTCTCAGTATTACAAACACACACACACATATTTTTTTATAACACACATACAAACCACACTCTGACATCCATACCAACACACCCACACAAATATTGTTGCATAATTTATCCAGTTGGCTCTGTAGTATGCCGAAGCAGAAAACAGGAATAAAGCGACATTTGTTTTTTTGGCCAAACTTTAAAAAAATGGCAACATCTGATAAAAAATTGTAAAAAAAATAAAATTTTGAAGCCTTGCCATCAGAATGAAAGCCTCTTAACAAAGATTGCATAATTTTATAGTTAACTGAACCGGGGATTAAAAATGGCAGTTTTAATGGGGACATTTTTGTCCAAAAGGCGCTGAGAGGGAGTATTTTTTGTACCTAATGCAAAAAATATTTTTTTTAAGAAAATGACGGTGAAATAGTAAAATTCCAATAAAAATACACTCCTGTGCCAAGTTTTTTGCAGTTAGCTTTAACACAGTCAAAGTGATCAAAAAAACAAAACTGAAAAGGACAAAAATGTCCATAAGGATGCACAAGGGTTAAAATAACTTACCAAAGATCCAGTGATGAACGGATATTGACATGCAGCAGGAATCGTGTTTCCTGACGTTTATATGAGCCTGATTTCAACATCTGGGAAATACATAATTAATGTTTCATATAAAAATTCAATATAGGTCTAAATCCGGGTGATCAATGACATCAATGTATCGTCCAGCTCTAAATCTTGCCAGTGTTTATTTAAAAACGTCCAATTATGCAGAATATACGTTGGTAAATATTTAATTGATGACTTGCCAATATAATATATAACAATATACATAGTAGAGTGTGATTTTTACCCCTAAATTCAGCATATCGACACAAAATGATAACTGCAAATCCACCTTTCTCTGTCTGGATCCAGTTGTAGATTTCGTCAGTCTCAGATTTCCTGTCAAAACTAGTCGTACAGTCAATCTCAAAACTATTTCCCGTTTAAGATGTGTTTTGTGTGTTTTCCACTCGGTGTGTGTAACCGCAGTCACACACATAACCTCTATTGGCTTTAATGCTTCACTCTTAGAAGAAATGGTTCTATTTAGAACCAGAAATGGTTCCATCCCCCGCTTCATATATGGAACTCCAAAATGGTTCTATGTAGAACCTTTTTTTTTGGTAAAAGGTTCTATTGGCCAAGTATGGAACTCCAGGGTTCTATATAGAACCCTTTTTTTAAGAGTGTATAGAACTTTTTAGGGGTTCCAAATACGTAGCGCTAATAGAACTTTTTAAGGTTCTATATAGAACCCGTTCTTCTAAGAGTGTTGAGTAAAAGCTAGGCTAGGCTAGTCACTCCGGCCGACGGTGACGTCACACACACCCTCTATTCCCAGACTAAAAAGCATGTTTGAGCTATCTCAACTGAAAGCAACTTGCATTGACATATGCACAACTGTAATGTTTTTTTCTAAGGCACGTTTATAAAAGCTACTTAAATATCCGAATATAACTAAGGCCTAATCCTCACTTAATCTATCTAAGGCTTGTGTGTGAAACCAGGTCATAGTGATGCTTAAACAGAATTAGATGATTATGTGACTAAGAATGTCTGAGTCTTTGCGTATCAGAAATGTCTTATCACAGTTTGCATTGTTTCTTACTTGCATTACTATCAGGACCATCTTTCTGTTAGAGTGTGTTTGCAACGCCTGTGCCAAATTCAAATTGTGGCTTGTTTACCGAATAATCCACAGTGAAATGAACAGTTCCAGTTACTCATCTAATTCCTTAGGATCCTTAATGTCGTTTTGAATTGCAGTGATTTAGATTTGAGTAATTCTCCTGTCTGTCCTGATTACTGCACTTAAATGCACTGATGGAGCTGTTGTTACTCGCTCTGCTGATCTCTGTTACGTTAGAAAAACACAAGGAAGTAAATGAATCCGCCTGGTTTTAATAAGATCTCTTCTTACACGGAAGTCAGGTTTTATAGTATGTTTTGTGTGTTTTACAGCACAACAATCAGTTGCTTGTAAAAAAAAACGCCCTTTTTAATCCTTTATTTGTTTAGTTATTTTTTCATCACCCGTTGAGCTTCAAATGTGAAAGGAGTAGTTCACTTTAAAAAAAAACTTTTGCTGATAATTGACTCACCATGTCATCCAAGATGTCCATGTCTTTCTTTCTTCAGTCGAAAAGAAATGAAGGTTTTTGATGAAAACATTCAAGCATTTTCTCCATATAATGGACTTCAATGGGGTCCAAACGGTTCAAGGTCCAAAAGACACTTTCAGTGGGCTTTAAACGATTCCAGACGATGAATAAGGGTCTTATCAAGTGAAACGATCGTACATTTAATAAAATATAACAAAGTTTATGTTTTATAAGCTCAAATGCTCGCCTTGTGACTCTCCTGTTCGAACTCGTTTATCAAAATGAACAAATCTTTTTCCGAGTCAATTCGTTCCTTTCGTTTGTTGAATGAACCAAATGACTCAAAAAGATTTGTTCATTTTGAGATCGAACAGGGGAATCACGAACGCGCATCACAGAACAGAGCAAGGCGAGCATTTGTGCTTATAAAACTTAAACTTTGTTATTAAATGAGCGATCGTTTCGCTTGATAAGACTCTTATTCATCGTCTGGAATCGTTTAAAGTCCTTTGAAGCTGCACTGAAACTCTCATTTGGACCTTGAACCGTTTGGACCCCATTGAAGTCCATTATATGGAGAAAATCCTGGAATGTTTTCATCAAAAACCTTAATTTCTTTTCGACTGAAGAGAGAAAGACATGGACATCTTGGATGACATGGGGGTGAGTCAATTATCAGCAAAAGTTTTTTGAAAAGCGAACTACTCCTTTAAATGTAACAACAAAATATCGTGTCACAATATATCGCAATAAAAAAATGCAACAATATGTATTGTGGATAATTCACCCAAAATGAAAATTACTGTGAGGGGGAAAAAAAATTACAGCATAGTGTCAGTAGTACATTAAACTGCCATATATAATGTTGAATATAATAATGCAATGGATGAATATTTGTGGGTCCTGATAGTGATGATGCCAAATATATTATGTTACCAGTAAAAATGGCCGACATTATTTTAAATATATCTAGTCAGTGACAGAGTTCAAGCATATTCACCTGAAATAATTCTGTATTTTCAGCTTCAGAATCATGAATATGTTTATTCTGGTGTCTCTATTGTCCTGTCCTCTAAAGTCTATTCATTTACACACACAATGTAATATAAAATGTATCACCAAAATCATCTTTTATCATTTGTCTTGGAGAATCGCAATAATATCGTATTTCAAATCGTGACACGAGGGTATCGTTACACCCTTACTATATTGACAAAAGTGTGTTGTTCATATCTATTCTTTCAGGCATATACAAGATCCAGCCAGTCAGAGGTTGACATGGAACAAGCCACCCAAAAGTGTCCTTATTATAAAGAAAATCAGAGACGCCAGTCTGCTACAGCCTTTCAAAGAGCTCTGCGTTTTTCTGACACAGGTGAGAAGATGGTTCAGCGGAAAGCAGTGCTGATGATGATCTGACGATCTTCATGGCCATTGTATAGATGCAGAAACTGTGTCCGCTATGCACTGGTTTGGCCGTATTTAAAAAATGCGTATTATACGCGAAATTGAGAGCAGTATACTAGATGAATTTGAATGAGCATCTTTGGTCTATCACTGATTGCATTAACAAAAATGCTTTTGTAAAGTGTTTCTTTGATTTGTACGGAGGCGTATTGCATTCACTTGAAGAAAAAAAAAATCTACTCTGTTTTTCTGAATTAACGAGTTAATTTTTCATGAGAAAAAAAGTTTTTGCTCAGTTTTTCTGAATTAACAAGTTAATTTTTCATGGATTTTTTTTGCTCTGTTTTTCTGAATTAAGAGTTAATTTTCATGAATTTTTTTTTGCTCTGTTTTTCTGAATTAATGAGTTAATTTTTCATGAAAATTTTGCTCTGTTTTTCTGAATTAACAAGTTAATTTTTCATGGATTTTTTTTGCTCTGTTTTTCTGAATTAACGAGTTAATTTTTCATGAATTTTTTTTGCTCTGTTTTTCTGAATTAATGAGCTAATTTTTCATGAGAAAAAAAAATTTTGCTCAGTTTTTCTGAATTAACAAGTTAATTTTTCATGGATTTTTTTTTGCTCTGATTTTCTGAATTAACGAGTTAATTTTTCATGAATTTTTTTTTGCTCTGTTTTTCTGATTTAATGAGTTAATTTTCATGAATTTTTGCTCTGTTTTTCTGAATTAACGAGTTAAATTTTCATGAATTTTTTTTGCTCTGTTTTTCTGATTTAATGAGCTAATTTTTCATGAGAAAAAAATATTTTGCTCTGTTTTTCTGAATTAATGAGCAAATTTTTCATGAGAAAAAAATATTTTGCTCTGTTTTTCTGAATTAATGAGCAAATTTTTCATGAGAAAAAAATATTTTGCTCTGTTTTTCTGAATTAATTAGTTAATTTTTCATAAGAAAAAAAATATTTTGCTCTGTTTTTCTAAATTAACGAGTTAATTCAGAAAAACAGAGCAAAAACTTTTTTCTCACAAAAAATTAACTCGTTAATTCAGAAAAACAGAGTAGATTTTTTTTCTCATGAAAAATTAACTCATTAATTCAGAAAAACAGAGCAATTTTTTTCTCATGAAAAATTAACTTGTTAATTCAGAAAAACAGAGTAGATTTTTTTTCTTCAAGTGAATGCAATACGCCTCCGTAGATTTGAGTAAAACCAAAGCGTAATGTTTCCTGACATCTGTTAATATTTGCTCTTTTCTGTCGTTGTGTTTGTTCCCTGCATGGCTTCTAGCAAAAAAACATGATTGTTTATGTGGAGAGAAAGGTCATTGAAGATCCAGCCATTGCTAATGAGAGCTTTGTGTCCGTCAAGAAGAACTTTTGCACTTTTAGAGAAGGTGAGGATTTATCCAAAAGTACTTTGTTATTATACCTCATGTAATTTGTTTGTGTGTGCGCTTCAGTGTGCATCGATTTATAATAGAATATTATCAAATTGTGTGCTGTCAGTCGAATATGTTTCCATGACTTTTACACAACCACGTAATGTGCCTCTTTAAAACCATTACATTTAAAGTCCCTCGGTAGTCAATCATTTTATCCTGTAAAACTCATATTTGATCAAGAAAATTGCATATTTAAATTTTTTTTCCCCCTTACAATAGCTTGAATGTAACTCGACACCCTTGCCTCATTTATTATAAGTGAGATTTAGGAATATGCAAATGAGCCCCGCCTCCACTCCCTCAGCTCTGAGATCCACTGGTTGACGATCACACGTTGATCTGATTGGTTACAAGGTGGTTTGTGACGTCAGAAACACCAGCGATTTCAAAGCGTGTTTTTGATTCACTGCAGTTTTAAGGAGGAAATACTCAGCAATGCTGTCCACTTATCAACTTACACACGGTGTGTCTTAAAACATATTAAAAACACCACATAGACACATAAACAACATTAGAAACTTGATTTTCACCACAGGGGGACTTTAAACAGTTTATTCAAAGTAGCTCAACTACGGTATAATCGACCTTGAATTGACAGAAATAGGCAGCTACATTTAGTTGACGACTGTTCTCCAATATTTAAGGAAAACCATTGCAGTGATTCTAAAATCTGCTTAGGTTAGGACTTAAAAATAAGTGTTCCTGAGTGAAGATGCATTGTGTAAAATTTACATGTGACATATTTCATAGATTATGATGACATTTCCAATTGTGTCGACTTCATCATTTGCTTGGGAGGAGATGGGACTTTGCTGTACGCCTCCTCTCTTTTCCAGGTTTGAAAATCTGTTCTTAACTAATATAATATTGACAGAATAATGAGAATCTAAGTGTACTGACAAAAAAATGTGGTGAGTGAGTGAGTGAGGGAGTCAGTGAGTCAGTCAGTGAGTCAGTGAGTCAGTGAGTCAGTGAGTGAGTGAGTGAGTCAGTGAGTGAGTGAGTCAGTGAGTGAGTGAGTGAGGGAGTCAGTGAGTCAGTCAGTGAGTCAGTGAGTGAGTGAGTCAGTGAGTGAGTGAGGGAGTCAGTGAGTCAGTCAGTGTGAGTGAGTGAGTGAGTGAGTGAGGGAGTCAGTGAGTGAGTGAGTCAGTGAGTGAGGGAGTCAGTGAGTGAGTGAGTCAAGTGAGTAAAGTGAGGGAGTCAGTGAGTCAGTGAGTGAGTGAGGGAGTCAGTGAGTCAGTCAGTGAGTCAGTGAGTGAGTGAGTCAGTGAGTGAGTGAGGGAGTCAGTGAGTGAGTCAGTGAGCGAGTCAGTGAGTCAGTGAGTGAGTGAGTGAGTCATGAGTGAGTGAGTGAGTGAGTGAGTGAGTCAGTGAGTGAGTGAGTGAGTGAGTGAGTCAGTGAGTGAGTGAGTCAGTGAGTGAGTGAGTCAGTGAGTGAGTGAGTGAGTGAGGGAGTCAGTGAGTGAGTGAGTGAGTGAGTCAGTGACTGAGTGAGTCAGTGAGTGAGTGAGTCAGTGAGTCAGTGAGTGAGTGAGTGAGTGAGTGAGGGAGTCAGTGAGTCAGTGAGTGAGTGAGGGAGTCAGTGAGTCAGTGAGTGAGTGAGTCAGTGAGTGAGGGAGTCAGTGAGTGAGTGAGTCAGTGAGTGAGTGAGGGAGTCAGTGAGTCAGTGAGTGAGTGAGTGAGGGAGTCAGTGAGTCAGTGAGTCAGTCAGTGAGTCAGTGAGTGAGTGAGTCAGTGAGTGAGGGAGTGAGGGAGTCAGTGAGTGAGTGAGTCAGTGAGTGAGTCAGTGAGCGAGTCAGTGAGTGAGTGAGTGAGTCATGAGTGAGTCCAGTGAGTGAGTGAGTCAGTGAGTGAGTGAGTGAGTGAGCGAGCGATTCAGTGAGCGAGTCCAGTGAGTGAGTCAGTCTCTGGAAACACTCACCCATTGTAAATATAAACCTTAAACAGGAGTTGACGTAAATGTAATCGTCTCTCTTGGTTAATCATGGCATCTGTAATCATAATCTTGATTATTATAATTTTCAATGTATTGTAATGCTCACCTTATGTTGTTTATGCTGCCAGAGATTGCAAACTCAAATTGAAATTGAGTGACTTCTTGTAGGTGTAGCTTTGTTACTGCAAATTGCAGTCACTGTGAACACCCTTTAAAAGCCTCAATTGAAATGTGTGTAGGAGAGTGTGCCTCCTGTCATGGCCTTCCACTTGGGTTCTCTGGGATTTCTTACACCATTTAACTTCGACACATACCAATCTCAGGTCAACCAGGTTATAGAAGGTAAGGCATTACATCTGTTTTTTCACAGTTTATATTTGTTTATATTATATTTATATTACAGACACTTTTCTCAGGTTCCAGGTTGTCAAAAGGGTCTGAGATATTGGACTTTCCCATATGGTTTTTCAATAATCTCTACACTTCTGCAGCTGTATTGTGCTTCAATGTATCGATTTATAGGAATGCTATTGCTCTTGTGTCCCAGTAGTGAGGTAAATTGCTTTATGAAAACTGCTGTACCTGGAACCAACAACACAAATCAGTTCAATCTAATAGATTTTAGAGTGATTTTCGAAGTTCAGCATGTAAAATCAAATGGTTACACTTTATTCCAACTTTGCAACTACTAACCTGAAACCTAATGAGAGTTAGTTGACACGTAGTTGCAAAGTTACCTATAGTTAGAATGCCTAAAGTGGACTATTATAAAGTGTAACTGATCCGATTGTTTATTATGTCTTGTTTAGGTTCACACCGTCCCTCTTATCATGACTGGCAACCTTAGCTGTGTTTCAAAATCTAGTTCGCTGCCTACCTAGACAGCTGACCGCATTTATGCCGTGTTTTCTTGTTCTGTATGTAGGAAATTCTGCGATTATTTTACGCAGTCGTCTGCAAGTGAAGGTGGTGAAAGAGTGCAGAGAGAAGGGACCTGTGGAGGAATCGAGTTTAATCATCACTAACGGAGAGACTGAACCCAAACACAAACTAT